TAACACTGCCAAACGTATTCCATTTAATTGAATAGTTCGCGATGACCAATCTTCGCTGTACCCTAGGGCACGTGATTGTGATCAGGAATGTATTGGTTATTAGGAGGGATTTTCGATGGATGTAGTTCCGATGAAATTAATGCGAGAGGGCGAGGAACTAATTCTCCAAAATGCACTGTATGACATGATTTACATAATATCTTATTGCAAAAGAAAACAAAACATGTTTGTTTAAAAGAAGTATTTATGGAAAATATGAATCAAATTGATAATTGCACACAAGGAAAAAAATAATTATTAGAAGTATTTTAGAGAGTGATTTAATGATCCAGAGGGATGATTGTAACCGCATTAAAAGAAAGTAAGACAAAGAAAGAAAACTTATCTAGTGTCAACAGTGAGTTACGTCAAGAGTTTACTTATTTAGCTTACATTTAATCCAGGCCCTAAACGTTGCTCTTGAAGAATTTTTGCCTTTTATATTTGGTTAATATTAGCCTAGTACCTCACAATAATAAATAAAAATGAATGTTTTATATGCTGAAAAATTGTTGATCGCACATAATGAAGTAAATAGATAAGTACTAAGGTCCAGTCCACTTTCCACTTCTGTTGATACGAAATTTGCATTCGGCCTTGATACAGGTGTTTAGGCACTATGCTGCATCTACTCTATAATCAAGCGTAGTACTGCTGGAACACTGCACGGGCCATACCTCCGGGTTGGCTTGTAGAACCTGTTTACACTCCAAGCACACGGACCATATGAAATGTAAACTGAAGCAATCTGCTGTGATACGCTGCGCCATTTGAAAACGTCAAAACTGTGTTCACACATAAATCGAATTAGAAACAGGTGTTTGGATGAAGCTATATATTATTTGGTTTATAATATTGGGCGTTATTAAGAAGATGGAAAATAGAGATATGTTGATACTTGTTTTTCCCGATTACATTGAAGGATGTAAGAATTAAATTGTTATTTACCCACTATATAAACTACGGATGCCACAAAACATTGATATTCAAATTTAAAACATCGATGTAAATAATACAATAACGTTTTTAAGCGTCAATTTTAATGGATAGTTTCGTAAGACTTTTACATTCTCGAAAGGAGACAATTTAACTTGACAGTGGTCGTGTTTATTAATTTATAATTAGTATTTTTAACAATAAGAACAATTAACAACACTGAGCCTAAAGCCTAAGCGCTCAGTGTCATCATAAGGGGTTAGAACTTCGTCAGTTCGCCGATGAAGGATGCGGGAAGAAGACGGAAGTCTAGGCATAGTGTTCATACGTTGACGGCCTCTGTAGTGCAATATACGAATAGGTCGTAGAGAATATCGGGGCAAAGGAGTTACCTCCTAGGCGAGAGATAGTGTGCTTGATGCGGGTAATGTTGATAGCGTTCGCTTTGCACGAGCACGTGATCTGACAATGGTATACTCAGTTATTATTTCATATTTTAATTTTTACAAAAGTGTTATTATTGAACTTTTTCATTCCTAAACAAAACAACATCGCATCCTAAATTCCCAAACAAAACAACATAGGTTAAAACATCGGTTAAAAATATAATATTCACTAATCATTTTTTAACACTTCGGTGTTTTTATAGGAATATATCAGCACACAATGGACGGCATTTTCTGTAGTAAGTTAATGAAAAGTTCAAATTCACTTACACTGTCAATATGAAAGTGTTTTCATAGCAATCAAAGTTTCAAGAGATTACTTGTGACTTGGAGGGAGAGAAAATGTCGAGCAAAGGCAGAAGAAATTTAAAGAACAAGAATAATCTCAAGTTTCCAATAGAAACCGTTTCTCACATTTTCCCACAGACTTAACACATACGACACAAAGTACATTCTGTAATTCTTCTCCTTATATTGAAAAACTTGCTTTTATTAATTTGTTAACCGCTTCCTAAATAGTTGAAATATTCTAGGAATAAGAATCATATTTTCGCCATTATAAAGAAAGTGGTTCATGATTGTAAATATGTCCATCCTTACAACATAATGTTTTATTGAGAGCAGCAGAAAAGTCTGCTCAAAAGACCACCAAAAATATTATTTTAATTCTGACATCGTTGTGTTACTATCGTCTGATTTCATGAGAAGTATTATCATGAAACAAAGATCTATGTATCCAAACACATCTCTAAAATGGTGAGAACTCTTTGTGAACAGCGATAGGTAGTGCTAATGGAAGTCGTTCAGCGTATTACCAGTTCATTTGTAGAACATAAATGTAAGCTGGGCTAAGTGTCAAAATGTGAAAATTCGCATTTTGTGCTGAAAAGCGTGGTATAAAGCGCAATGCGGTGTTAAATGGACTATCTGAAACTCTCATTCTTAGGAGTTCAAATTGTCGCCACTAGACTGCGCATCAGTCAAGTCTCTTGAAACACTTTTTCTTAATTGTCTAGGAATTCCATTTTCGACACTTAGCACGGTTTTCACTTATGCTCTACATTTGATTTCCGTTTATACCGAGCATTAGAAGTGTCCCTGTGGCTTCGAAATCTACTGCAAAATTCTCTTTCGACCCTTTACCCACTGTGCATCCCCATCTCAAAGTCAACGGTTCGATTTCCCACTCTCCCACCCGCCCGGGGCGCGCGTCGCGTCCCGTCGCGGCTCAAGCGGCGAGGCGGCTGATACGGCCTCCTTGCACACGACCCGGCACGCGCCCGCCATCTCTCGCCCGCCCAGGCAACTACGACGTGAGATGTCGCCGCCACCGCCGTCTTCGCCACCGGCGCCTCCGCGTCGCGACGCCGCGTCGGTCTCTTGCGCTTCGTTCGAACGCACGGAGAGTGTCGGCGAAGTCTCGAACGCCCTAGGAGCTCCGATCTATTGGTCGAAATTTTAAAGTTCTAATAGTAATTTTTATAACAAACGTATAATAAAACTTCATTGATACTTCGTTGCATACGTTTATATTCCTACGAATCCACTTGCAGAATTGGGGGAGAGAACGTTGATGTAAGTACGGTTGTAAACTGGTCCTAAATAATAATTCTTCATATAACAAATGATTTAAGTAAATTAATTAATTCTTACTGATTGATTTGATGACTTACTATGAAGCTTCATTCTTTGGAACGAATTTTGAAGGAGTTCTAATAGTTACTTTATTAAATTCCGTGGTTGTATCAGATATCTTGTGGTAATCCATAATGGTAGAAGGAAATAATCGTCCACAAAAAGGATAATAATTTTATTAATTATTACCCAGAGTTAACTGTCGGAAAAACAATTTTCGCATCCCCAGGGGGTCTTGTCCAAGCAACGTGTATCACATGCAAATGTTCACAACATGGTCGGAACAATTACGAAAACTTACGAAAACGTTGTGAACATTTGTAAGTGATTCACGTTGCTTGGGCAAGAACCACTAAGGATTGGAAAAGTGTTTCCCCGAAAGTTATCTCTGGGTAATAATTAATAAAATTATTATACTTTTTGTGGACAATTATTTCCTTCTACAGTTATTTTATTAACTTATTCTTTACTTTACGGCTTAGGCTTTTGCCTGTTCCGTCCTCACAGTTTCTCTTTATCTTTTCCTTGGTCTCCTTTCGTCTCTTCTTCCTCTTGGTACATAATATGAATCTGCCTTTGGGAGTCTATTATGTCTCATTATCTCTACATGCTCTGCCCATATTTAATGTAGTCTTGCATTCTAGCATTAATTTGTAGTTGTAAACTAATTCTCAATAATATTTATTGATGTAACGAAGGATTGTTACAAGTATGTTGTAGTAAATTATTGTAGAATATCCTGCTACCCACCTAAACTTAAAATGTATTGAATAATTTATAAGTATAATCACTGAAACTTTTTGTAAAGAGACACGTGTATCAGACGATTGCTGTATATTGCATTTATATACACTAATCTTTGCATTTAAAAACAGTAAATCTTCTAATTGAAAAAACTTCTTATATTAGCTACGCCAACTATAACCTCATGATGCAAAGATTATTTTCAAGTGTATTGTAACTGTACCATTCTTTATTCTGAAAATGACGTAAAGAGAATATGATGCTAAATAAGATAGGGAGATCTGAACATTACTGCCTTTTATTTAAAGCAAAGTCACGAAATTTTGTTTTAATTGAAAGCTCAAATTGCTTTTCAAACAAAATATTTTAGTGTGTTAAATATAATGAATTTTTACGTTGCTGTTTGAAAAAGCGTCTAAAAACAGTTGATGGGGTTTCCCCGTGGGTTGCGCTGGGAAACGCCCCCGCTGCAAAAGTCGTGACGCAGCTCAAGTGAGACTTGGCGCAAAAGATCTCCGCCGAGTTTAATTACTTCGCGACAAGGTCAAAGTGCCGCTGGAAAACAGTTGAGCTCACCTGCGAAATCTGCGCTTGTACGTGGGTAATTACTGAGACAATTTCACTGGATTCCTATGTTTAGTTGTAGCGTCCAGAGCTGTTTTGTGGACACTCAACTCCGTTGAAAATTTGGTGCATTTTGATTGTTTGTGTAGGAGCATAAAAGGCACATTTTCTCAAGAATGTACTATTAATCTATATTACCAATATACATTTTTCAATCCATACAGAAATAGCAGGAGAACTTTGTAGCAACCGGGCACGTGAGAAGCATCTATAGTTTCTCTTTTGAACATTGGTAAGCACATTTCTGAGGCCACGAGCCCCGTTGAGAAAGAAGTACGTTCGCGAATTAATTTAAAAAAATATATTAATTTTATAAGGCAGGAGGTGTAACAATGTCCTTATAACATCGGCAGCTGTAGAAAATGGAAGTAAAGTAGAGGCACTCATAGGGCCCATCTGTTGATATGAACGCCGCTCGACTCACAGCGGTTTGTTTCACGACGACTAAATGAATCGTGGATCCCATAAGATTTATTTAGAAAACAAAATAATAGTTCATGACTTATTCCCAATACTCGTATGGTTTTGAAGATGTTGAAGATGTGTATAGAACAAAGAACGCAGTGGTGCACTCACCCTGCGGCCGCCCAGCAGGCGGCCGTCCGCGTTGCCGCGGCGATGGGCGTGGCGTCCGCATAATCGCGCGCTCCACGACGCGTTGCCGGCGGCGGCCTGAGGCGGCGCGAGGCGAGGCAGAGGCGGCGACGCGGGCGCTGGCGCGGGGCGGGGGGGGGCCGGCGGTGCGGCAGGCAGGGCGAAGAGCGCGGCGTCGCCGCCGGCAGCGCGCACTGCCACCGCCGCCGCCCCTGCGCGCGCGCCACCCGCCCAGCGCCCGGCCCGCCCGGGCACCGCGCACGCCCCCGCGCCCGCGACGCGCACAGCCACAGCGACAGCAGCAGACACAGCACAAGACAGACCGGGCGAGTCACGGGGCCCGATGATGGCACTAATGGAGGAAAAAAAACAATTGAAACAGAAATTAGAAGTCGAGAAAATCGTTGTCGTACTTTTATTAGTCGCGTTGCAGTAGTATGATAATTCATAATTTTTTTTTCATTAATTATCTTCACCTTAAAAAGTTAATTACAGTTATTCCTTATAATGTAGTACTCTCCAAAATGAATCTCCTTTGATTCATTAATATAAGAGCATTAAAATAGGTTCTACTAAAATTCATACTTATTATATCATGTATTTTACGAATAATTTTATTAAACACTAAACACTATAAATTATCTCGTAACATTACTATGATATTACATAAAATTTCCAATTAATTATTTTTACCTTAAATAGTTAATTATAGTCATTATTTATAATTCAGTACTCTCTGAAATGAATCTCGTTTGATTTATTAATATAAAAGCTTTAAAGTAGGTTCTATTTAAATTCATACTTATTATATCATGTATTTAACGAGTGATTTTATTAAAAACTAAATACTACAATTTTTTATTGTTTTAAGGTCACAATGGAAAGCGTATTATTTGATGACTAAATACTTTTACTTAAAACTTTTATTTGAAATATATTTCCAAAGACGTTTTCTAACTTAAAGATTATAATTTTTGTTATTTGTTGAAACAAAGTAACTCGTATAGTGTCTTGCTGCAACATTCACATTTTTAATTTTTTTCGGGGGTGCAACGTTTTAGCGTTGCCTCCTCCGGCACTGAGGGGATGGAGTGACAGATGAATTGAAATGACCATCTCTGCACATTTTATCGTAAGGAAGGTCACGTAATGGCGGCCCAAAACGTTGGCGTTTGCGCGTAGGACCCTCTGACAACCTCGGAGCGCCCATCACTACTGACTCCGACCGCGGAAACATACGCTCTCACATGAATTGGTGCTTCCGGCCACGACAACTGCTGTGGTCGTTCGTGCCGTTAGAATAGTGAATGTTTCATCCCGGAAGTTGGCGATTTCCTCTCTCAAATCAATGGCGAGATCCGGTGTCGACTTACACGCCAGCATCCGGATATTTCCATCTCTAGGTTGCTCCTACAGCTGGCCACGGTTCCAGCTCGGACAATCGCCAGTGGTAACGAGTGGTAGTGTTGTGAATGGAAGTGTGAAGGGCTGAGAATAGGACGAGGAAGAAGAAGAAAATATCGCGCGTGGTCCGTGGCCTATTTGTTAGGGTACTGCTCCGGCATTCGTCTGGTATTGATAAAAAAAACCACGGATAATTACCGATTAGAGCAGACGGCCGCTAGAATTCTCCTCCAGTCTCCCACTATTCTGTGGCTGCTGTGGCTCATCTAGTTACTACCCCAAACCCTTCATGTTTTGTCTTATCCATACACTTTTTATGCAGTTTACTTACGTATTTGGAGTAGATACATTAGTTCATTATTTTATACAATACAATAAAGCTTTCCGCCGTTTTATTATTTCCGATAAGTTAGAGGGTACTGTGGAATTCCATTTAATATCATTAACCATAAACGGAAACTGTCTGTAAATATGTTCAATTGATGAAAATCGAGTGATCGGATGTGATAAACGTTCTTTATTACTATGTTTCCGGTCAGACACGGATACTTCACCCAGAGATGAACAAACACATACTACCGCGTGTGTTACGGCCCCGAAAAGTGTTTGCTGAGGTGGAATTTCAATTTGAAACTACGGGTGCCCGCGGCCAGCAGGCTAACCATTCAGCACTCGGATCAATAAACAGTTCATTATGTTGGGCCACATCCAGAAAACATGCCCTTAATATTTGATAATTCCGAAGTAGTTTTGAAAATAGCACCAAATAATTCATAATATCTGTATTGTGCACTATTGATAGAAAAAGTTTAAAGAAAAAATTGATCTTGCTATCACTTTTGTGAGAAATTATTTTGACTCAAAATTACGCGAATGGTACTCACATTTTTTTATCATTTTGTAAGTTATATTATTTAAAGATATAATTTTGAATGACATATTTTAGTAGTGAAAAATTTTTCTTCAATAATGTTGAAGGAGGATAAAAAATGAACTTAAATTAATAAAAGTATTTTAAAATGAATTTAACATGACATGTAAATAATGTATATCTGAACAGTATTGAATATGAAATATCGAAAAGAAAAAAATATTTAATCCAATAGGTTTAGATTAGTTAACTTGGAAATTAAATTTGATATTTTTCTTCAAATTAAATTGAATAGGAATTGCGCTGCCTGCATCAAATTGCTACTGAATTAATTTGAATGAAATTTGATTTTATATGTGAAACCTGTATCTGTGTTATAAACTTCAAATTGGCTCTTTTAGAAATGGTAATATATTTTTTTCAATAATTTTGGTAATGATTATGAGTTTACCTCTGACATACCTTTTGCTTACTTATAGAGAATACTCATTAAATGGAGGTTTATATCTCAAAACTTATATTATTCTCTGGTAAGCACGAATTTAGTATGATTAACTAATACTCGAAACATGTAAATGATGATGTTCGATATCAGATTTATTTTTTTATATTTTCATTGTTATCTTTCTCTTATGTGACAGATACCCTTGACAAAACAGATGAAAATTTGATTCCATACACTCCTTACATTATAAATAAGCAAAATCTATTATTCATATGTGGTATGTAAATAAACTTCTGTCCGATAAAATGTTCATTACATTCATTTAATTAAAAATTCTGTTCTTTCATTATTCAATTATGAAAATTTCATTGTTTTCTACGGTATTTATGACATTATAAATAATTGATTAGATCGAATCATCACTATCGTATTCAAAGTACTTAAAAATAGTTTACATACATTTTATAAGCTTATGGCGTAATATCAATTCCGAATCCTTTCACAGATTGTTGATATAACAGAGTGAAACATAAACTCGAAACAGTATTGGAATAATACATACGTTCTTAATTAGACCTGTGGCTAAAATCTACATACGTTGAAATGCATATTTATGTTCGAAAATTGGTTACGAGTCAATGCACATGGTTTTAACTGCATTCAATTAACTTCAAAAGCTGTTATAGATATTATACTTTGATAAAGCGACCAGTTCGATTATGGGCTACAGCGATTCCATATTTCACGTCAAGTGACACCCCTACCAGAAATGTGCAAATTAGATTCCAAACTAAGCCCTGGCCAAAAGCCATTAAACACGAAACTTTGTATCGCAGGACGCGAAAGAGGATACTTCGATGTTCCGCATTGCATGACGACGACTGTACACTAAGGAAGAACTTCTGTAGAGTATGCGAAACGTACGTGACAACAAAATCGATTAAAAATTTCAGGCGTCAGTTTCAGTGCTTTTAAAAGCACATACAACCAATTATTTCAGTTTTCACCTTCAAGGAATTGATGTTGGCAAAGCATTCAACTTAATCTCTGTTTATAATATTTTATATTCGTTTTCATATAAAAACTTTTTTACGCAACTGTTTAAATATTCTCATAGCGTTTCAAAGTTTTTATTTCAAATGAATTGTGGACTTTCTGCAATAATATTTGTATTGAATTTTGTTTTTAATTTCAGTTTTCCATTCAATTTGAAAACAGAGTGTCGGAAATCATCCTAAGAAATTTGTTAATTATATTAGGGAACAATTTCAGAGTAATGATTGTAATTACGTCGAAACGACAATAAATTACTTTTATTTTTTTTGACAATACATAGGGATAATAATGTGTTATAGAAAGGAAGTTTTTTTTCAAGTGAAAATAGCAACATCTCTATCGAATTTAAAATGTACTACTGATGTTTATTACTGATCTTTATTTACTGGTGTTGATATTTAAAAGTAACTAACTCGTAATTTATTGCAGTTAATTACTTCTAATTAGAGGTTAGCAATGACAAAACGCAGTTTATCTAAAATGTAGCATTAAACGGCGTACACACACCCATCTCGAAATTAAAATGTTCGTCTGTAACTTTTAGAGTAAAACGTGCACTGTAAAGGTAGTTCTGTGATACGATGTAGAAGAATGAATAAGATGAAAATATCAAGTCTGAAACGCCGGGTGAAGCTAAAGAATTAACTCCCTGCACAAAGGCTGATAAGAAGTTAAAAATACGAAGGTGAAGAAGAATCAAAAGAAAGAAACAATTCCTAAATTGCAGCGTCTTTTAATAAAATTAATGTTTATTTCTGTTCTTAAAGAACTTTTTTAGGAAATTTCATCTCAAGATTTAATTGATTTCAGAAGAGAAAAAAATCCTCGGGAGCTTTCTTTTTTCCTTGCGTCCACGAGCCCCTTGTCGTCGGTGTTCCTTACCTCCGAGTCGTCTGTCACGGGGGCGGCCGGCGGCTCGTTGAAGTTCATCCTCTCTCCGTGATTGCATCCTTTGGTTCACCGTGCCCTCACTCCGCGACCCGGCCTGGAGGTCGGTAGCCGCCTCCGCCTCCGCCTCCGCCGCCGACGTCACGACCGTCTTGGCGAGTCGAGTGCATGGCGATGCCAGCGCCAGGCCAGAAGCTTCCACGGCCCGCTCCGCGGTGGCGGTGGCGGCTACGTGTAGGGCGTCCCGGGGGGCCGAGGCGCGGCGGCGGCGGCGGCGTCTTGGGGCCCCGAGCGTCGCGACGCTTCCCACAACCCCTCCGCTGGGGCGCGCGACCCGCGTTGCGCCGCGCCGCGCCGCGACGCCCAGCTCCCCCCGGCCACTCGAGGCGCCGCGAGATCGACTATTGATCCCCTGGCGGAGGTGGCGCTCGAGATGGAGGTTGAGGAGAGGATGGGGATGGAAGTGAAAGTGGTGGTGTAGGTTAAGGTGGTGCTGGAAGCTAGGCGGGTTGTGGCGGTTGAGTGATATGTGGAGAATAAAGGGGGCAGTGAAGGTTAAAATCGAAGTAAAAGTTAAGGTGGAGGAGATGGTTAAAATGGAGGAGAATTTTAGGGTAGATGAGAAGTTTAGAGAAGATGAAAAGTTTAGGGTAGATGAGAAGTTTAGGGTAGATGAGAAGTTTAGGGTAGATGAGAAGTTTAGGGTAGATGAGATGTTTAGGGTAGATGAGATGTTTAGGGTAGATGAGATGTTTAGGGTAGATGAGAAGTTTAGGGTAGATGAGAAGTTTAAGATGGAGGTAGGCGTTAAAATGAATGTTTTGGTTAATATGAATCTGGAGATTAAGATGAGGTATTTAAGGCAGAGGAGATGATTAAGTAGGAGTTAAATAAGTAGTTACACTGGTTAAAGTGCAGATTACGATGTAACCAGAATTGGAGGAGGACATCAAGTGAAGCAAACACAAGAGGTTATGGCGGCATAGGCGGTAGCGAGGGGGAATTGTTAATGAATCTGAAAGCTGGTGTGAATATAGAACGGAATGTGGAGATGAAAGTAGATGTGATATGTACCTGACTCTGTGGACAATAGCGGAAGTCTTAGGTTGACAGAGACGTAGGCGGAGGTAGAAGTTGTGATGGAAAGGAAGCAGTAGATCTTTCACCAATCATTTATGGTGCAGAATGTTGAAATTGCAAATAGGTATGATTCTGGAGTCAAAAGAGTTAGATGTAGGGTTGAAAATGGCGTCAAAGAAGAAGACAGTCTTAAGAGGTACCTGTCAGCCAATGAAATTATTCAAATTAGAATTATTGAAACAGTCGGCCAGATGTCTTGAGTTTTCCGTAAATCCGCACCAATAGATGCGGGATACAGCATCGAATTCAGCGTGCAGTGCGATGAACTGTTTTTCCTTGAAAACTGTGGATGGGAGATGGTAAAACAGCAGAACTAGAACTGGGGAGTTGTCGTGGTGCTCCGGAGGTAGTGTGCCTCGTAGACTACCACGTCGCCGTCAACGTCAACGCCTCTCGACGTATAAACTGCTAGCGGTAGCGATGGCGTCGGAGACTGCCGTATCCGACAGGAAGTTGTGTATTTTTCAAAGTGTCACTATCAAAGAGGGTGGATGGTATGTCTAATGACGTGATTGACGAAAACCGCTTCGAGCGGTACACGCTGGCGTGAAAGATGGCTGTCACTGACTACACATTACGTCCTGGACAGTTTTCATGGGTTTTTCTACGGTGTCTCTTGCAAATAGGGTGAACAGACGCTGACGTGGTAGACGGCAGTCACCGTTATCGCGAGCAGGGCGGCGTCGCCAATGACGAGGAGCGAGAGCGAAAGCTGCGAGGTGGGGGGGGGGCGGAGTGGAGGAAAGCCGCCGGAGGGCGCAACTGCCGGAGACGCCGCCTGATCGTCTGCTGTTCACGCGACGCGCCCTCCGAGTGACAGCGACGCCCGGGGCGGGCCACTCTCTCTCTCTCTCTCTCGCCGTGTGACGCGACGCTGGGCTGGTCGCCGGGCGGATGTTTCGCCCGGAGGGATGGCTGTCCGCGCGGAATCTACACCGCGAGTTATGTATGCGCGAATTTTGTTTCCACTAAAGTACACGTAGGTGCTTTGTGTGAGGATTTTCCGGTATTTTGTTTTTATTGAGGCGTGACGTCAGCGGAAACTGTTGCATTCGACATGATGGCTTCCTAGTGGTTTCGTGACGCTTTTCGACATTAATAGAATAATGGAATCTTCGCTTAATTTAAAGGATTTATTTAAGTCCTTCCGCTTAGTTTAAAGGACTGGCATTAACACCTTTTTTTAACATTCGTTTCAATTTCTTAAAAAGGATTTTCCGATTGTCATCAATTACGTATTCTAAGAGTTATTTGTTATTGTTTTTCCTGTAGAAATAGAGCACAAAGTTATTTCACCATCGAAATATTATGGTGTAAATGAAGTAAGACGTATCTTCAAAGTAGCCACTCCTTTTTTGTATTGTGAACGAATGTTTCGTGGACTATTCGAGAGCTATTTCCCCTCTGGTAAAACTGGTGTCAGAGAAATATTATCCAAGGGAAACATTTATCACATAAACGAGAATTATTGCTCTTCCTTTTTGTTGGGCATTTCTTGTTTCTTTAAACTGATGGTACATATCTACATTATGTATGAATAGGCACCTTTTAATTCTTACTATTAGCTTGGTTGTACAGAAACAAACACGTGTAGGGTCTCGTATATTTTGTTAATGTTAATAAAATTGCACATATTACGTTGTCGTTGTGTACACACGCAAATAATGACATATCATCAGCGATTAAATAACACATCACACGCGTAAACCACAGGTTGACAGCGATCCGCGTGAAACTTCTCAGGCGAACAGACCGAAATCCTCGAACAGCCACCGCGAGCGTTACCTCGCGTGTCAAAACTCCCATTCATCTCCCCGGAGGGGAACAGGCCGGCAACATGAACAGACGCAGCGCCATCCTCCCCCGCGCGGGCGCCCGCATAGCTTTTAGACACTTTTCTTTCGCAACATTCAACGAAACTGTACAGTAAGTCATCTCCATGTGGGGAAGTACATAATGGTGTGACTTTTATTGGAGGCAATTGCTCATAACATAATAGACGAAAGTAATATATTGTACCGATGTCTCTCGTTCGACCTTATTATGCTCTAATAATTCCTGTTCTGTTCCAGTTGAATCTGTTCTAAGGCGTCGATGTTTTGTAAAACTTGATCGTCGCAATGTTCAGAAATGACCAGCTGCATTCGTGTTCTTTTTTTATTGCATATATTTCGTTTGAACTTTGTGGCGACTCAGACTCATGTGACTAATGTAAGCGCGTGCCTCCTGATTGCGCGTGGCGGAGGGCGAGAGCTGTCAGAATTGCGCCGCGGGGCTGGCGCAGATGGCTTTACGCTCTCGCCGGTGTTGGTGCCTCTCTCACACGCGACACTCCGCTAACCGGCATTGCGCTCGCGCGGGAGCGCGTATTCCGCCACCAACGCATCTTCCGCGTGTTTCGTGCTGTGGCGTAGAAATCGTATACAAGAAGAAACCTGTTTCACTCAAGCTCCTTTTAATGTGCTGCTGAACTTCGCCAGGCCTCTGAGAACTAGATTTTTCTTGAGGAGAGATATACTTTTGTGGTTGTGTTTACACAGAGACGTTAAGCTGTGTGTATATAGACATGCACTCTAGCTAAGGTTGTTCCCTCTCAATGCAACCTCAACTGCTTCTTAAGGAGCCGCATCCTTTTGCGTTCCTTTATGTTTTTACGAATCGCCTTCCCTTTCGGAACATCCTGTGCCGGCGCGCGCGAGAAGCGATTTTAATTGGGCTCTACGGCATCATAAAACAATTGTGTGCAGGAGGGCTCGTTGAAATTATCAACTAGTAAATGAACGCAGTTAATACGAGGTGGATATGAATTGCTCGCAATGGATTGACACGTCTGCATGTGAAGGCACTCGCTATTGCCGTCTTGCTGATTGCTCTCTTAACAAGACTCGGGAGCGAGGGTTTTTTCCAGCCGGGTTGGGCCTCCGTGCGCATTCTGGAACTCACAACTGAGTTACGTTTTTAAGCCTTGCTTATATTGTGAGAGATCTCACAGACTGTAAGTTAATGCCCTCTACATCGGGTACGGGGGGAAGGATCTCTCGCTAGGGTCCATCGGGGATCGCCTCGGCAAAGCTTCAGGATAGTTGGGTCGGAGGACTGGGCGGGAGGTTACAGTGGTGGACCTTTGCTAAGATGACTTGCGGGCGGTCTCCAGCGTGCAGCATGGCGGTAATGAATGAGCAGATAATATAGCGAAGCTATCAGAGTTCCAGTGCGTAGAGAAGTTCTCGAGAGAGAGGGTCGACGGCGGGAGCGGTGATTGGGACTCGTGGGAGACACGGATCGACGCTGGTTGGGTCGCATGGGTCAATGTGCGGTGTGGTCGCTGCCGCGTCTAAATTGGTGAGTGCAAACGTCGTCCCGAAAATACTAATGCTATCGTGACCGATAGAAGATTTTACCCGGTAGCGAGATGTTAGTTTACGTTATCTCACTATTCTAATTGTCATATCTTAAGAGACGTTTCATTCTCCGCCGGGGGCGCATTGTTAATTAAGGTGCGCGATATACGATATTTTTTCTCTGTCGCGCAGTAAAAGTGGGCACCGTATCCCTGAAACATGTCACCTGCGTGCTGTATACATCTTGAATCAGTATAAATAACTGAACTTCTCCATTTTAACGGATGATATCTCTTTGGTCCCTTTCTATCATTATGAATTACGAAATCATCTCGCCGCTCATCACGGAATTTGTTCAGCGATATTGGATTACACTACCATCGATCTTTGATGTAATAAACAGCTCGACCTTGAATGTTGCTTCAAAGTACTTGGTAAGAAATACTGAGATAATTGCCGCGCTTCATATCGCGTACGTATTCGTTATATTTTAAAATACAGGATATCTTGTAGACACATCTGGTTCTGAGGGAATGAAGCCTCCTGAACCAGGAATCACGCGCCTACTGGAGGATTGTCGTTTCACGGGTGGTTAAGGAAATGACTTTTACTTGACGAGTAGTATGCCTTGGTTATAGGTATACAACTATGTGTCTGCCTGAGGTGAGGGATTGGATTGATTTGTGGCAGCAGGTGGAAGTGTAAGGATAGAAGTGAAAGTGGTGGTGGAAGGTTTAACCCAAGTATAGCAAAGCTCCTTTGCTCATACATTGCGATAAGGGAATTGCTATGGGTGCACTCGGCGTATGTAAGATTAATCAAGTGTTATTTGTGCGGGGTGTACAGAGATTGAAGAACTGGCTGGTTGGTACATAGATATTGGTATTTTGAGACTCATGTTGTGATTCAACCTTGCAAGTCTTTCGGTAAT